ATTTCTACACTCAACTTTGCCGTTGGTGTTGATGGGAATCCACAACCTTGTTACTTCCGCTGTTTGGATTGAGGTTATAGTATTTACGTTACTTTACACATGTGATTTACCTCTATAATAAATCCCCGAGTACTGTGTGTGTCAGCATACCGATCCAGGGATGACACTTAAGCACAGAGACTTAATCCATTCGGGTCGGGTCGCTACAATACTTGTGGGTCATCAAACTACAGTGCCCAAAGCACAAGGACCACGACTCTGAACCCCAACTCAACGCTTAAAGCAGAAGAAGAATTGTTCTCAGGTCAGGTTTTGTAGCTATGGCTCATACTCCTTTGCTTTTGCATCACTGTATTTACTCATACCAACTATTTTCAAATTTGAAGGATGGAATTGAAACTCCAATGGCGCAACAGGTACGTTTTAAACCCATTTCTTTAACTAGTTTGCTGTTGTAACTTGCTCTATGTTGATTTCAGTTTCAATTGAATAAACAATTATGTTCTCATGTCATGCACATTACAAGTGTTGTTATTGTTGTGTAGTTTCCCACACTTATATTCTGTCTATGCTGCTTTGTCTTAAACGGGTATTATTTGGACATTGTCTCATCTTGATTTGGCAACAGAAACTAGAATGGTATAGACCATACAGTGACCATGGTACACAAATATATGTTTGTTTCATGCTATTATCATGTCCACTTTACTACTGAACTGATTTACCAAAATGAGTTTCATATACAACATGGTAAACCTGTGATGTGTCTACTTGTTTCTCTTTTAGAATGCAGACAAAATATTGGAGAAGAGTACCCTGTTATTCAATGCTAAAGGAAGTAATGCAGATAAGGTTCAAGATAGTGAGACATCCCTGTTGGTCTCCAAGAAAGCTGATAAAAACTATCTTGACGACAGTGAGACAACCCCAAAGTCCTGTATTGATGTAGTGTTCGAGTTACTGGCCACTACTGCTAGCACAAGCTCTTCGAACTCGCTGCCTGAATCAGTTCATCTTCTTGAGTCTCAACTTAAAGTTGAAAGACATCGATGTGCTGGTAAACGAAGCCGAAGGACTGAGGGAGTCCGTGCAGAATTCAGATGCATACTTTCTGGTGCAACAGCAAGTGCTGGAGGATTTAAGTGCCAGACAAGAGAAAGTTAATAAGCTTGCTAAGCATCTTGCCAGCATGTTGGGTACCCAGGATATTGTTTCTTGAGCTCTTCTAAAGTGGTTTCAATTCTGGACTTGTTTTGCTGCGACATTTATTTGCACTGGTCGCCAACTTTGACAACCAGTTTATGTGATATGCTACTTTATTCCCTATATTTGCACTGGTGGCGAACTTTGATGCCCAGTGGATGTAATATGTGTAATAGCCATAATAGCCTAGCGTTAGTGTTTTGCTTATTTATTTCCTTATTGTCTTGTTTAGTTGTTTGCCTGTAGTCAATGCAGTTCTTTTTCCGTGTTTTTCTAGTGGCCACAATAACCTATTTTTTTATAACTAGGCCACAATAACCATGGGCAACATACGGACCGTTGTAACCATGGTCCTGCTATCTGCTATAGTGACCATGGGCCTCCTACGGGCCATAGGATCCATGGGCCCTTGACGGGCCGTATAATCAATGGGCCTTCTACGGGTCGTATGATCCATTGGCTAAACATGGGCCATACTATTCATTGACCAATTACTGTCCGCAAAATGGGACGTAAACGGGTTAGAGTGGAAATCGTATGTTTATGGCCTGACCATAACGGGCCGTTAATAGGCCGAAATGTATAATGGGCTTAATTTGACAGGCGCCATGGGTATTTAATGGGCCAAATTTGATGACGCTATGAAAACAGCCCAAACGGGTTAACGGGCTACAAACGGGCCAACTATAACCACAGGCTGAATTTGGCCCACAAGCAAAACATGCCAGTAATGGACCGTAAGTAACCGAATGCTGGAAATGAGCCCAAGAATAAATGAGCCCTTAGAAGGCCAAAACGTAACATGGGCTGGAAACGGCCCAACGGAATAATGGGTCGTTAATGGGTGTAAAGCGTTACACTGTTCATTATGGGCCACTTACACCACGGGCCTTTAATGGGCCCAGAGTTACAAAGGGCCTCATATGGGTCGAAAGACATCATGGGCCATACATGGGCCGGAAGTTACAACCGGCTGGAATCATATTGGACGACCCAGATGACGTTACTGGGCCCAATTCGGATAGGCCATAACGGGCCTTGAGTTAGCGGGCTGTAAATGGGCTATATGCGAACAGGCCGTTAACAGGCTTTCCATGGGCCGACCCGCTACCTTCTGACCAAGTCAAACGGGCCGGCCTTTTCACCTGAATGGGCCTCTGTTTGGCCATGCCACATGTCGACGTATCATAGGCGCCTCCTGTCCAATGAGTGGATGACATCTGTCCCAACGGTGAGCCGACACATGGTTCCTCTGGCAATTGAGAATTTTACACGTGGAAAATCCCCATTGGTCCGGGCTGTTAACGGGTTATCAGATCCAAATCGGAACCCGATAGCTTAACGACGATCCGTTACGGTGGATGCCACGTGTCAGTTACCCTTGACGAAAGCGCTTCCATGACGCGCCATTTTATCGTCATGGAAGTGGACACTTCCGTGATGATAATTTTGGCATTGTCATGGAACACTTCTACGACATCACATGTATGACTATCTTGATTCTGTCATAAAATCGTCATGGATGTACATGTATGACAGAAAACGTGACCTACCGTGACAAACACGTATCATCACAGAAGTGTTCTTTTTGTAGTGGAGGGATTACAATGGTATATGATGTTGCTACAGAGAGTTATCCTATTTGAAGATAGATGATCAAGAGGAACCCTAGACTAGAGGTCCTAGGGTTTACATGTTGGATGCGATCTGGGGCCCCGCTGCCCTCTAGTCTTGGGCATCAATAAGGTCATCAGGCCTCCTAGGGTTAGCGCCACACTGTGGGCCCATTGGCCCCCTTGTAGTCAATGAGGCTGGGCTCCTTGGCATTAGCCACCCCTAGTATAGGACCCTGTCACCTGGTATTCATTGTTCCGTCAGAAGTGGAACCTATTCATAGCCTAGACTGCTGCCCAAGCCATCGAGAAAGAAACTTGTGACCCAACTGACCCAACAAAAGAACCACCCAAGAAGGTTAGAAGAGGGTTTCAGGGAAAGAAATAGGGGGGAGGGTGAAGTGAGAAGGTGTGGTGGTCAAGATGACAGAGTGGTTTGAGGACATCTTGTCCAAGGAGGAGGCATACGTCAAGCGCTCTGACATCAAGGAGGAGAAGAAGGCGAAGAGGTTCAAACTGTTGATGGAGGCGGTCGAGAAGAAGCTAGCGCTCGAAGAGAAGATGGCCTCAAAGAGAAGAAGGCCATGCTCGAGGAGAGGAAGGCGATGCTCGAAGAATAGAAGGTGAAGATCGCAACCGGTGCGGAGGAAGCCAAGATGCTGTCCTCGAAAGTGGAGTATTTGGACGCCGACACAAGAATGATCGTGCAAGCCATCTGCTTCAAGATGCTGCATCGACAGAAAGTTGAGTTGGAGGCAGCGGGTAAGGAGTAGGAGGAGGCGGCGTCGAAGGAGGCGAAGGCGAAGGTTGCATACCCGATGGCGACGACAGCTTGAGCGCGGAGGAGGCTCGGATTGCCGGTCCACCAGGGCACCAGACTTATATTCTTTTCTGGTCGGACATGTCAAAACTTAAAGTATACTTGCCTCTTTTCGGTTGTGATCGGGCATGTGAACCGACACTGGCGTGATCCGGCGCGCGCTATGAATCGGACTTTTATTTGAATTTGAAATTGCACTTTGTTGATTGACATATGCATGATAGCATTGGATGGCTGCCTCCTGCACTCGTGTCTGCGAACCGACCCCCCTGTCCACGGACAAATGCGGGAGGGAATTTGTGGGCCAACGTGGGAGATGCCCTTTTTTTGAACTCAAAGATGCCCTTATACCTACAAAACCAAATATATATACTCCCTCCGTTCATAAATATAAGTCTTTTTTAGATATTCTAATACAAATTATATACGAATGTATGTAGACATATTTTAGAATGTAGATCCACTCATTTTACTCCGAATGTAGTCCCTATTGAAATATCTAAAATTACTTATATTTAGAAACAGAGGAAGTACAATATGAAAGAGACCTATCTGATGATGTGTATTTAGTATTCTAAATGTAAATGTTTTTCTCAACAACCATTAGTCAAAGTTTGTAAATTTTGACCTTTCTAAAATTCTATAGGCACTATATTATACTCCTTTGAACTAATACCACGACAAGTAATTTGGAATGAAGAGAGTAGAACATAGTTTTGACATTCAAACTTCATCGGTCAGAAGGGCAATCAAAACCCCTAAAAAAGGCAATCAAAATGACCTTGGCCGAGCGCTCAAGAACGGAGGAAATGTGCTCCTCAAATACATGGGGGCCCTCATAAGTGGCACACGTAAGGTACAAGCATATGACAACTTCGAACATTTTTAACAGTAAGTTTAGTGACACGAGGATGACAACTTTAGTTGTCAAACATGACAACTTTCGTGGGTCAATTTATTTCTAATAGAAACTTGCCGTATGTCACTGAAAATTGTCATCGTTACGTGACTGAAATTTTCATCAAAAACATCAAAACCAAAATACCATACATCTCACATGTGACACTCATCGTTTAGGATGATTTAACTCTGACCTGCAAAGGCCGCAGCCGTGACGGCTACGCGAGCCAAACCCGGACGCCTCCCCGGCAACCACATGGACCGCACGGCGCTCCGGACGTCCACCTGCCTACCAACCGCAGCCCGCGTCTCACTCGCCGCTATACCGCCTGCCACCATCACATCGCACCCACACCGACCCGGCACGCCCTTTTCCCCGTCAGACGCCAGCAAGCTGCTTGCTTTGCTTCGGTTAGCTCGCTGCGCGGCGCCGCTCTCGGCTCCCCCGCGGCCAGGCTGCTCGGATGGCGGGGCGGCCGGGGTACGTCACGCTGCCGATAATCTCGGTGTTCGCCGCGATCGGGTACGTCTACTACACCGCGGTGTTCCTCGCGATCCCCGCGTGGCTGGGGCTCGCCACGGCGGCGGGGGTCGCCAACGTCGCGGCCTACACCGCGCTCGCGCTCGCCTGCGTCGCCGCCTACGGCCTCGTCGTCACGCGCGACCCGGGCCGCGTGCCGCCCGCCTTCGTGCCCGACGTCGAGGACACGGAGACCCCCCTCCATGAGATCAAGCGCAAGGTATGACCGGCCGCCAGCCTCCCTCTTCCCGCACCGGCACCACACCCAGATCCCGCTTCGAAGATGGGATCTCTCCGGTGGCTCCTGTGTCCCGGTTGCCGAATTAGGCCTCAGACATTTGGGGTCTTGGATTTAGATGTGGTAGAACATTACCTGGAAGCAAGATTCAGTGAGCTGGTTATTCCGTCTGTGGGGTTTGGATCTTTGAAGCGGAAGGCTGCTTTGCCATTTTTAGCTCAATCAGTCAATCTTGGCAATATCTCAGTGGGAGGTGGACTGGTGGATGTCCAAGTCCAAGATGGGTCTGACGAGTGTCCTGCTCTGTATCCTTGCACACTGACACACTGTACTTAGTGACGGTTGCAGGATTTCAGGATGGAGTACTTTGCAACCTAAAACAAGGAAGTCCACAAAACAGAAAATGAAAGTACAAACTGTTTACACGATGCCATATAGTTTATAAGAAAAAAAAATAGTAATCAATAAAAACTACAATTTGACATGGCAAGCAAGATATGATGGCATGGTGTCACCACTCACCATCTTTAACTTGCACAAAGAATTCATAGTGACCAAATGTAACACATCAGTGTTTATATCATTAAACCCCTGTTCTGTTTTTAGCTTATCTATCACACAGTTTATTACTCCGTATAACATACTCTGTTCACAAATGTAGGACATTTTGGTAGTTCAATTTAAACTGCCAAAATGTCATACATTAGTGAACAGAGGGTTTAAGTCTTCAGCTCTAAGAGCG